CCCCAACCCTACTCCTAACCCAACTATTATCTTTCAGAGTCAATCTAATTGAAGCTGGCTGCCACAAAAGTGTCTTTAAATGAGCTATGTCAGTGAAAAGTAGTAGGTGATATAAATTCCTTTAAAGATTACCAAGTCTTTATTCATTTTTTTYAGTAAATGGATTTAGTGAGTTATTTCAAAATGAGGTAACATGAAGAAGAATTATTTTGTTCCGACAGATGCAAAATTACGTAATGGTTGTTTGTGTTCGATCCCAATCCACAGCTCAATATCATTAATGGGGAAAGATKATGTCCCAATACAGGAAGTTAATATCCTGGTAATACTACAGTGACTGTTAGGTCTTGACTTGCACCTTTGGAGATCGAACTCCGGTATTAAAATTCACAACACGCTGACAGACGTTTTTCCACTGCCATGCTAGCGGTGGCCATCTCGAACTGCGTTGGCTACAAACGTTAATCAGTAAATGCWCATTTTGTGATTACTTTATCCACGTTTCATTAAAATTCATCCAGCGCTTCAGACAGACAGGCAAAAACGTTATCATCCTCCTTTGCCTTTTAGTGGCAGCTGATAATGAAGACGTTTTTGCAAACTGGAGGAGGTAACAGTACGTTCCTTCGCTTTAAACCCCTCGAGAAGGAGAGCCTTAGAAATTGGATCGTCACAGGATTTAATGGCTTCCTATTAGTAGTAAAGAAGAGCARTAACCCGTCTAAATGAGATCATTATGCAGCTCGCTATGTTTAAAACTTCAGAATCTCTTTTTTTTGTTGTTGTTGTTTTTTGGTGGAGAGTTTTCTCTTTCGATGAAATGTGGTCTGATGACTGATAGACCGTGTCTGTCACTACAGCTGACTGATTTATTAATTTTTTTCCTGTGTGTGGTGAGGTGAACATGTTTTTAGGAACAWGCAGTAACTTCTTGTAATCTCCTGAGAACAGAAAATTCCTTTGTTTGTGAAGATAACAGAAAAGAACAACAAAAAAAAAAGCTTAGCAATCCTTGAAGGAATGCATATCGCCCACCTGCTTTCAGACCAGATCATAGTCTAAGACCTCACACACAGGTAAAAAGATTATCGCAACATTATTATGACACMCCCCCCTCCCCCCGCATGCGAAACGGAGGTCATATCGTTTTTGTACTGTTTATTTTTATTTGTTTATTTTATTTTTCAGTGACATTTGGTCAACCGCAGGATGGAAACAGCTGCACCAGTCAACATGAAATTTGGCAGGAATGTAGATGTGTCCAATCTACACTGCGCCAGCCAAAGGTTTTATGATAGACCCCATATTTGAGGAGGGGGCTCCATCTAAAGAGGTCTGGATATACAAAAAAAGGCTTATAACTCAAAAACTATTCAACATAGGAGCTTTTTTTAAAGCTCTGATGAAGGCCTATCCATCAGGTCAACCAATGAGCCCCTCCACCACCCCCAGACCCCCACCCAAAGCAATAAAATTGTTCTGGTGAGTTCTGGTGCATTGGTGCTTTGTGTACGTGCGGGGGTCATATATGCTACCGC